ACCCTGAATACCCCCATAGATCCCCCATTATCGATGCTTTGTGTCCAGCAACCAAAGGACCAAAATTGCGGACAAATCTTCGAGGATTATCGGGCGTGATGAGGTAAAAAGTAAGCGGCGAGAAGAATTTTTTAACCTTCTTTCTCCTCGAGCCGGAGATATATACGTACGATCGGATTCTTCGAAGGAAAGAGGGAAAGAAAAAAAAAAAAGAAAGATCGTTTAAATACGTGTCGATCGATCGAAGAAGAATCGAGATCGAGAACGAAAAATTGTTCCGCGGCCAGCAAAGAAAAAAAAAAAAAGAAGAAAGAAAGAAAGGAAAAAAAAATCCCCTTTCGTTGCAGCGCGATTATCGAATCCTTGGAAAGATCAGAGCGAGATCGAGCGCGGAACGAGCGAGAAGGAGGGAGGCCGTGTCGATATTGAAACGGTGGAAAACAGAGGAAACACAGACGGGCTGACCGATCGGCATGCTCTCCGGTATTTCGCTCTGGTTGCGAACCAATTGCTCTATGGTTTCGCGAGCCGAAAAAAATCGACTATTCATGCATAACACCGATAAAATCTGAAAGCTGCTAAAAGCGCGCGCGATCGTATCGCCCAATAATGTCGTTTCCGTACCGGCAAAATACAGAGGCGCGTTTAAAACCGACTTCACAATAATTTGACAATCCGACTACGGACTGCTGAAAGAAGTCCGATACTTTGATACGGGAATAATTCGGCAAGTGGATTCGTTCGTGTCCGGACGAAAGAGATCGGTAGAGGAAAAGTTGGTTAGTTAGTTTAACGCAAATTCAAATTCGTCGAAAATTTGCTCTTGTCTTAAGAACGTGCGATACGAGGAACAGGATCTTTTATTTTCTCGAGCAAATTCCTCTACTTCGACTCGTCTCTAATTTACAAGCCTACCCCTAATATCGTTCAACGATCGTTGCTGACACGCGTGTCCGGGAAAAGGAGGGGGGAGGGGGGGGGGACACTGAAAGAAGAATAAACGGAGGAGAAGGAAGTTTTGAAAAGAAGTTGTGGAAAAAAAAAAAAGGAGCGAAGAGGGTAAATCTGCGTAATTACCCTCGATTTCAGAGACCGTTGCGAAATTCAGTGGTTCCGGCCAGGCTGCGTTCACCGAGAGGGAAAAAGATATCCAAAGATAGGATCTGAAAGCTGCTGAAAGCGCGCGATCGTATCGGCCGGTAATGCGATCCCCCAGCGACATAATGGCGCAAAACCTGGCCCCCATTGTTAGCCCCGGGGCTCAGCGGCGCATTCCTTGGCCAGGATGTGCTCTCGATTTTCTCGGATATCGTATAATGTGGCTTATGCCCCCGGCGGGGGGAAACAGAGGGAGGACAGGGAGGAGGAGATCCGGCGATTTAGCGTGTGCGTCTCGAGAGAAAGGAAAAAACTGTGCTCGATAGTTGGAGTAGGTGTATCCTCCAGCAAATCTATTATTGCTGTTCAAGGAACAACTAAGGATTGCATTATGAACGAAAAATAATAAAAAAAAAAAAAAAATACTTCTTTTTCATCTTCGTATATCATCGCCTGATACAATGACGATTGCGAGATTGATGATTGGATGGATGATTGGATGGAAACATATATTTTTATGCGCAAGTGAAATTTTTATTACAAATATTACGATTGATTACAGTGGGCGGTGAATTTTAAATTATTGAATGAACGATGAAATAAAAATTGACGATCTGTTATGAACAAAAGTTGAAAATTTTCAACTTTGAGAGAGAAGTTGTTTTAAAAATGTGCATAACGAATTTCTATGCCGGATAAAGACCGTAGCGATATCTTAGGACAGAACGGAAACTACCTATTTGGATGCACTTTCTATCGGTAATGCAATCGGTTCGAGCTTAAGATAGTTACCTACTGTACCAATGGATAGTGAATTGAAATTTCATATATAAAGTTGATAATTTAATGAATTATAAAATTATAAATCAATATATTAATACGTTAAAAAATTAATAAATTACTAGCGAAAAATTTCAATATTTTAAATAAAAATATTGATTTTTTTACCTGTTAGATACGATCTTACCGATACAACTTTACCCATCAAGCTACGCTTACCAAATGGGGAGGAAACAATTCCGATTCGAATTGTTCACCCTATCGTTTATACGTTTCCAAGCTACGCGTGTTCGATTTCCAATAAATTAAAATTATGCAGAAATTTTGTACTTTATATTAATTAATATGAATATTTTCGAATATTTAAAATATGCGTGTTTTATTCGTAAATATAAATATGGTTTATCATGTAAAAAATTAGAATTATATGATAACACGATGTTATCTACGAACGATATAATTTTTTTAATAAGCAAATTATTTTTTAAATAAATATATACTTTATTTCATGATTTCTTGTATATCACACGCGATAATTTATTTATTATAATTTTCGCTATTCCGATTTTTAATAAATTTAATTCGAGATATTATATTTTAAACTTTTAAATATGTCAATTATAACAATTTATAATCAAAAAGAAACGCGATATTAATTCAATTAATTTTTCACAGTTAATAAAGAACCGAAATTATTTTACTTTACGTGTAATTCAACGTGTAATTAATCATCGAAACACATATAAAATTGTAATGAGCCAACATATATATCGGTCGAAAAATACTACAAACTAAAATGGTAAAAAAAATAATTTGCCATTATATATAATTAAAAAACACGATATAAACACGATATGTAAGAAAACTTATTCTTTTTTAATAAATATAAAAAAAAAAGAAATTATAAAATTCTCGATAATAAATATCACCGATTATTGTATGTGCTCGTATAAAAATTATTTTATGTATACAAGCTATCACTCGTGTCGATTCGGATCTCTCCTATAACGACATGATTGACAGGAGAAATAAAAATACATGGGACTCACCATTAGATGCGAAAAATATTGCCATTGATACTGCAATGGACATCGAGAAATCATCGTAGAGTGAATCATTGAAGATTGGAAAATATCTGCAACAAAACGTACAACATAATTAAAAACACAATTTATCTAAAAATAAAAAAAATTATTTAAAAATATTGAAATAATGAAAGATAAAATATCATATGTGCACTATAGTAACAGTAAAATTGAAATTTTAATAAAGTATAAGAATAACAAAAAAAATGGAATGTTGATATAAATATTTAAATGAAATAAAAGATAATTATTTAACAATTAAATGTTTGATGATCATTTTCTCGATACACTAATTTTAACATGTATCAAAAATAGATATAAATAAAAAAGAAAAAAATAAAAGACTATCGATACAATCCGTTACAATCATTGAACAAATATTAATTCTAATTTTGTACATAACTAATGCGATTAAATTTTCTTAGAGCTATTGTGCTCTGAAAAATATTATTACGTAGCAAAAATATTATTGCGTAGCAAACACTGAATCCATCAACCGTTTTGCACGCGGTCACAACAATTCTTTGAAAGTGAAATATATTGGTAGAGTAGTGGAGTGGGATAGAAAAACATTACACCGCAATTGCGTCGAAATATGTCTATGAAAACAAAACAAGTTGTCAACAAGATTAATTCTTTAAAAAATTTTTGGTCAAAACAGAAGAAAGTAAAAACTAATCCAATTTCTTATTTAAATAATACATTTTTAGATTAATTATATTAAATATCAATCGTATAAATTACTCCAAATTTATGTATATCAATTATATATTAAATACATAACTGATATAATTATTATTAATAGTCTAATAAAAAAAATCATATATATATATGAATATATATCTTTATGTACCTATTTTATTGGAAATTAAAGATTATCCTGTGTTCACGAAGAGCAGAATTGATTATTTGAATTGATTCAAAATCATCATGGCGTCCATATTTTAAGTTGGCATCCCTTTTCTTCGAATATGGTTATAAACAATCAATAATCTGTACAAAAGAAAACCAAAAATTTGGAAACTTTGAATATATAAAACTATAATCAATTATAACAAAATAGAAATAATAATTAAAGTCAAATTTTGTTTGAAAAATTCATAATACAAATCATCGATAACCAAAAAAGCTAAACTAAATAATTAAACGAACGAATAGACAAACGAACAATAACAAAACTATTAAATTTTGTTATAATAATCCTTAATAAATAATTGAATAAACTTAAATTAATTAAATAAGAATAATAATACCTATAAACGGTAACAGGAATGTAGTAGAAACATACTACGCAGTTGAAATTGTTTTCGTTTCGCGGAGCGACACGTCTTGTTGCCACGAATTCTACCGGCAGAGTGAAGAGAACGTTCGCGTGGCGCGCGCATGGAGTTCCATTTGGTTGGAATAATACAATACTCCCGCCAAATACAAAATCGTGTGGAAAATTAAAGCATTATTTATTATAATAATTTTTCTCATTTAATCAATGAACTATAGATATTCCGATCAGAAGATCGTAAAAAATATTTAATATTTTGATTTTTACGCGATGAAATATACATATATTACATATAAATACAAATAAACGAGTTTAAATATTCTATGAAATATTTTCAAAATAATCGTGTAGAATGATTTCAACTAATTTTATTTATTAATTATTGTATACTGATAATGATAAATTAAATTTCTAAAAACTTATAATATATAAATGTTAAATTTCTTCCTATTGTCGATATAAATGATAAAAAAAAGAAACATTTAACACTATTATTATCCTACTGATTCAAGTTATAATTAAAACTTATTATTATTATTAATATTAAGCCAAAACTTAATATTAATAATAATTTAAATAAAGAATTACATAATTAATTTATGTTTTAAATATTTAAATATTATTTTAGATATTATTAAAATGTTATTTAAAACTTTCTAAATGATATTTGTTCCGAAAGATAATAAAAAAAAATATATTTCATATATTATTAACTTTTTCTTTATGCATAACAAAATCCTATTATGGAGTTGAAATCTAGTTATTGATTGTACTTAATACGTATACGATCCATTTCCAAATTAGACTAAATTCATTTAATGTTCTGTTCGGATGTTCTTAATTTACGTTTTCCCGTTGGAACGAGTGGTAAAGCTGATGCTTTAAAGCTCGTTTTCCCCAACATAAAGCGTACGAGAACGGAATAGGAAGGGTATGTCTCACATCTGTATTGTTATCCTTTTGATGTCCTCCTCAAAGCTGGACCACATCGGGCTTTCACTCCCGTTTAGCAAGTGCAGGGAGGTAGAAACGATAAATTTCCACGGTATAGTTCCATAATTTATTGTCCTCTATAATCAAATTATTATATTTCAGTCTAATGTACTACTTATTACTCTATTTTTATTAAATTATTTGATTTATTTTTGTATTGTTTGATATTTGAGGGTGTAAAAATACATTCTATTTTCTACTTTTGCGAAAAATAAAATAAAAGTACGTGTATAATAAATAAAAGATCAACAAATTTTTATACATCTTATGTATAAAAATATACTTATATTATTACATATTGTTTTGTTAAAACGTATTGAAAATTTAGAAGAAGATTGGATTCAAATTTCTTTAAAAACTATTTTAAACGTACTTTCTCTAAGGATATCAGATAGAACGGATGGTCGAAATACCAAATATAATTTATCGAAGACTGTGTGAATCAAGAGCCATCCCTGTATCCTCGGAATCTAGAATACTGTGGACACTAGAGAGAGGTAGTCGCACGGGGGGTTTATTAAGCTTATTAACAGACTATACAAGGGTGGACGTACATATCTACGTCGGTGGTCGTTAAAGTATGGGCAGCTAAAAGGGGTGCAAGATAATGGTACATGTATGTGTTGTACCTTCATTCGTTTCATATAACAGAAGTCGAGATTTCGGCTTGTCATACCTATAATTATCACTTCCCTTTGCGTTATTTCCCGTCCTGTGTATAATTAATTTCTACCTTACTTCGACCTATTAAATCACGGATTTAAACTAATTATACGTATTAAAGGGAATGTAAACGATCACAACGAAATTTAAAATTATACAAATAATTTAAAAATTGTAATATTAACGCAATATTTATACTTTGTTTTATTTTTCTTCGAATTTTTTCAAAGCATAGTATATATATATATATATATAACTCACACATATACTATGATAACTATAAAAAAAGAACAGCTGTTTGCCAAATTAAAAATATTATGATAATAATAATCATACAGTCATTTGCCTTCTAAATAGACCCTTTTTCATATGCTTGTTATATTCCTTGACTGCATCCCCTTTCTATAATCGCGTGCCCACCCCAGCGAGTATTATTAGCTGCACGCTTTGCAATTGGATTAACGGAAGCGAAATTGCATCGACGGAAACGGCATAGATTGTTTCGCATAGTCACGAAAGTCCACCACTTTTGCTTGTTCCATCTAATGGAAATACTAGTATCATGAAACAATTATCGTAACGAATCAAAAAACAATTTTAAACTTTATGTATTATCAAAAGCGTTTCTATCGATTTGCAAGAACGATAAAGTATTAAAAGTTTTATTTCTTTCAATTGAAGCTAAATTTGAATGATTGCGATAATATTCACATTTCTAACTAAAAATAAAATATGTATTGTCGAGTAAAATATATATTGCCTGGTGTTCAAACGATACGCGAATATAAGAACGAAGGGTTGAAGGAGCCAAGGATCCCAGATTGGGTTTTACAGAGCAGAGGAAGAGAGGTCGTCTAATCGTGTCCCTAGTCCTGATTTAGGACGGGATTTTAATTACGAAGGGTCAGTAAGTGCGGCTGTCCACTTGCCGTAAGTATTTCTCCCTTATTTATAGTTCATTAGCTCGGCTTTTGCGCGAAAGGCAGATTAACTTACATCTGATTATACGGTCCCTACTTTGAAACAAAATTTCACTCTAACCCTTATGATAAAAAGATCCTCGCAAAATATTGATAAAGTTTCATCCGATATTTTCAAAAATTTAACATCAAGATATTTATAAACTTGAAAAAGATATTGTAATATTTTCATAATTATATAAATATTTCTTATACAAAATACTTGCGAATATAATTTCACGCTTAAAGGAACAGATCTCTCTGAATTAAAGATGATTAACGAGGTTGAACGTATCGCATTAAAATTTGTCGATTAACAAAAACAGGATGCTATTAAAGGAAAGTTCTTTCTATAACGAGACACTTTTTCTGAGAATCAAACTATCGATAAGCATGTCTTACGAAGCCCTTCCGGTGGCGCTGGAAGTCACTCGTTTCCGAGCGATATCGTCATCCTGATAAAAAGCGTAAAAAAAAAATGTTTCTGTTTTTTCTTCTATCGTTAATCTGTTATCTCGCTCACCTCATTTCAAGATTTCTAATCTTGTGATACTCGGAAAATATTATATTTTAATTAATAAAATTCTGCGCTCTTTAAAAAATCGATGCGATCGCTAATAAAATATGCCCAGTTATCTACAAGTTATCTGTTATACGATTATATAGATGGAAACAATTTTCCATTATAAGAACAAATCGATTAAATTAAAGAGACACTTGGAAATTAAAACAAAATCAAAAATACAATCGAAATTACATCGTAATTATATGCAACACACGTGACAACTGCGATAGATCTGACCGGTGTCTTTCGCGTAAGTAATTGCGGTTTCACGACACGACACGCAGCCCGATTTTTGCGGTAGATCGGTGTGAACCGACAAAACCGATCGACGAGGTGTCCCTCGACCGCGCTTCTCGCTTTTAAAGACAGAGAGATAAGAAAACGCAGGTAAAATCGGCCACGGGTCAAAGCACCGTGCCACTTCCGAGAGGTTAATTACATTCTTGCGAGCTCCGCACGAACGAGTGAAACCGCATTTTGCTTCCTCGATTGCACTTTAGCAGACCACAGTGCAATAAACGGTAGCGTTGCGGGAACATGTCGGTGAAGACCTTTAAAGCACCTTATACTGTTTTTTCATGTATTACACATTCTGAGAAAATCCTTACCATCCGAACTATTTGACATCAAATTCTTATCTTTCCAACGAAGGTAAGAAATTAAGGAACATCGATGGACTTTGTTGGATATTGACGATTTTCTCAATAATTTCAAATGATGAACGGCTTCGCGAGGAATTGAGATTTGTTGAGGAATTTCTTCTTGAGAAAAGAATTCTGGATTTCTTTTAGCTGGAAAATTGAAAGAAGTTTGTGAATTAATAAGAAAAGTTGTAAAGGATCGCTATGATATCATTAAGCAATAAAATTAGATCGAGTTTCGCTTAAGAAGAAAACCTTGCACCTTTATTAACAGTCTGGCGCCAGTTTACAGAAAAATATATCAAATATACAGTTCTATAAGTTCCACCTGGATTGCATTTTGCAATGGCTATCACAGGTAACAGCTTCCTACCTGGTGGAGTACAGATTGGTGGGGGGTCACCGAACAAACTTCAAAAGAGAGGAAAAGAGATCGAGGGAGAGAAAAGGAGGAGGTTGAAAGTAGCGGTGGTACGAAGGAACAAAATCCCGAGGGTGGGGCAAACGATCCACGATACGGGAGAGCCCACCCCCACTTGCTCCCCCAATCACAGGCTCCGCCTCCAGAAAGCCGCGTGACGTCACACAGACACTTGTTACGCCTTGCTGAAGTACTGGATTATCACTTGGATCTTGCCAACCTGAAAAAGTTACTCTTTTTAATCCCTATAAGTCGTATTTCAATAGTCCATCTATTTTTCTATTATCTATTTACCTTCAAAAATTGAAACACTTTGTTTACTTTTTTTTTTTTTTTTTTTTCATTTTTCGAATATTTCAATTCACACATCATTTGAAACATTAGTATAAGCGTTAGATATGATCACTGCAAAAAAAAAAAAAACGACTTGAGATAAATTTGCTCGATTATATTCCTGTATTACCAGAGATGATTTATTTCCACTTCTGAAAATATACACAAATATTATTCTCGTATTACATATAGGAATCGTAATTTTTGATTATCGATATATTTAAGTAGCCATTATTTCAGAAAAGGATAAGAGATTCCAACCAACAATACGATTACGATATCGCGAGTGTTGAAAGATTGACCCGCTTTTGAAAATAATACGATAACATAGGGAATTTCGACGATATTACTTATTTTTTTCTTATCGGTGTTATACCAAAAAGATTAGGTTATGACTAATTGCTATGAATTAGTTCAAACATCGAATATCATACTGTTATTTTATTTATACATATGTTTAAAATATATTAATAGTAATTGGTCGAATCAGGTTATGATCGAATATAAAATTAACTGCTTGAATATGCTAATAGATTTACAAATAGATACAATTATGGCCAGTAACTATGATGACACATAGGAATTTCCGTAAATTCAATGTAGCAATAAAACATATCGCATTTACCTACCTTTCACGTTGCACGAATGGCCTTCAATGAAATTTTTTTCATTTTCTACTACGTCGATAAAATTATTCTTATTTTTACATATTCAAAAATTGAAACACCTAATCACTTTGCAATTAATCTAATATCATATCATTGAACTTTTCTTTAAAAGATAATTGTTTTTGAAACTAATCACAAATCGTATACATCTAATAACACTCTGTTCTTAAATCTACTCGATTCGTGTACATTTCACGCACAAAGTTAAAAGAAATTACAATTTCGAACAATAACTACGAAACATGTGACTGGAAACGACGCCATTGTTTCTTCTTCTCATTTCGAGAATCGCAATCATAGCCAGCGATTATCGAATGTCCAATCGATCGAGATCATTATATTCTCTACCGGGCGTGGCGCTACTTAACCTTAATTCAGGTTAACCTTAATTAAAGAAAAAGCATAACAAACCAAACATATCGACGTAGTAAATCATGTAACATTCAGTTTAATTCAATCGTTCATGATTAATCCAAGTTCCAAGTATTTGGACGTTGCTCAGGGATTCGTTGAAAATTAGCGATATATTTTTTCTATCAAAATAACTCGTACAAATAAGCCGAGAAATATGAAAACACGGACACTGGTCACAAAACGAGTCCACACGATCGGAGGGCGGGCGATCTGACAGTGGGGATATGGGACTGTCGAAGCGCGGCGGGAGGACGATGTCGACGGTGGGGAGCGTCGGAATTGCAAGGCTTAGGTTGCCCCGGGCCGCTTACGCGGAACACGCGGCTGAAGCCGCGCCGCCGGCATTACGTCGCGCACCGTCGACCGCGACTGACGTTCCTATAGATATTTCTCATTTCCATCTTTTACGTCTACTTCGATATCCCGCGTTCAATCGATAGCAAGCGAATATTTATCGATCGTGTTTCTACACGGTATCGAATCTCGATCGCGAATAAAGTGAAAGTTTATTTTCTAACCTGTCGTGCCAGAAAATTCCAAGTATTGACGCTCTTATTCGACAACCTGTAGGAGTTTCCAACTGCCAAAACGTGTTTACATCTTCGACAAGTGATTAAATTCAGAATAAATAGATGCATCGATCTAACACAGTGACATCTCGCGGACTAAAAGTGCATTAGAAGAAGAGGAATAGTTTCTGATTGGACGTCAATATTGGATAGTATTGGATAATATTGTCATGGCGTTGGCGGGAAGCTAATAGAGAGTATATCCGTCATGGAATACGACGACACTGAGCATACTCTACATGCTTAAGAAGATAGGATGAACGTGTTGGTAAGTATCCTGGACATCCGTCGTGTGAACCAGAAGCGGAGAAGCAGTCGTTGGAGAAGAAGTTGCTGGTAGCAGCCGTAGCAGAGGAAAGTCCGTGGAGTGTAGAGTGCATCTCGAGGAGGCAAGTGAAATCACGACGTCTTGTCCGGAGGGTACGTGCTTGGGCGACGAGGGGCGGCAACTGGCCGATGGGATGCATCTACCGGTGGGTTCAGTGGGTTGCGGGGAGAATTACGCCACCGTTGGATCCCACGAAGGCGCCGGTCCGTGCGGCCCCTCACTGGCGCCTCTTCAGGGGGTAAACACCAGGTACCAGCAGGCCGACGACGCCGACGCCGGGGGAGGTGGTGGCGAAATGAGCGAGGGTGCCGCCGTCGGCGAGCTTTGGTGGACCGAAAGACTCGTCGGCGAGGCACAAGCTGAACATCCTGGTGAATTGGTTCGAACAGGTTCGTATTCCTTCTAATATGGCTACCAAAAAATCGCATCGTTGATTGGTCGAAACGTTTGACGTCATTCTCAATTCGAACGAGCGGGAAAGTAACGTATAGAATGGAAATTTCGTCGCGGCACGAATTGTGAATCGTGAATTGAATTGAATTGAATTAAAAGAGAACTATAATATTTCTAAAAATTTCCAAGTATTGTTTTTCGTAGATTTTTAGAGAAAAAAAGTGATAAACATTTGTTATATGTTTCGCGATAGAAGAATATAATTACGATATAAGTTTTGAACAAGTATACGGTTAAAAAAATAAGGTTAGGTATCGATACATTTCCAATCATTACATTACATCTCTATTTCTATTCTCTACAAAAAACGTTGAACGTTTTTATATTTTTACAGGATCACCATATTTTCTCTGCAGTCAATTGCCAACACATTGGAGATCCAACAAGACGCTTCCAGTGGCGTTCAAAGTTGTCGCTCTGGGCGAAGTCGTGGATGGAACATTGGTGACAGTACGAGCGGGTAATGATGAAAACTGTTGCGCCGAGCTAAGGAATTCCACTACGTTGATGAAGAATCAAGTAGCCAAATTCAACGATTTAAGGTTCGTCGGAAGAAGTGGTAGGGGTAAGTGTTTAAAATAATTATTCGTTTATTATCGTTTTACCAATTAATTATTTATTACTGGGTATCAAGGGTATCGTACTATTTCCTTCTTCTTTACCTCGTTCTAAAAATAAAAGTTACGAAATAGGCAAAACATATATATTTGATTAATTTTGCTTTACGTTATACACAATTACGCAACCGCGGTACAAAAAATAAAATTAAACAAGAAAGATTTTACAACAACAAAGTATTGTATCTATTTTTAAAAGATATTGAAATTCAGATTTCAATCCGAAGATACAATTTGATGATCAAAGCTCGAGACAACCTATTAAACGAGCCAATAGAGATGGTTAGTTTTGAGGTTTCGAGTGTCATCGTCAGTGGCATGTCGCTTTGTAAGTCGTTGAAAAAGCAGCCAGTAAATTATCTGTGCAAGAGAGGCGCACGTACCGTGATTTCGAACCCCCTAAAAGCACGGTTATTGTAATCATCATCGTCATCAACTGGCCTCAACCCCGCTTGACTCGTCTCTCGCTTTTAAACCCTCCGCATCCGCGAGTTCCCTCGCATCCCGCCGCCCCCAGAGTCATTACTCGATGTCCGCCGGTAGCCCCGACCTAGCATCCGAAACAACTGGCCGTTAATCAGAAATCATCGTTCGTCGGCCGGAGAGAGGAAGGGGCTAAGTCTCGAAAATCAAGCGAATCCGCCCATGTTCGTTTCGATGTTCGCGTCGTTTCTCGGAAGAAAAAAAAAAAAGAAAAAGAAAAAGAAGAAAAAGAAAAAAAAAGAAAAAGAGAAAAGAATATAAAAATCCAATCAGAGGTGAGGAAAAGTGAGGCGAGGAGGGTCGTGTTTAATTAGCGAGCGTAAATATCTTCTTTTACGTTATTCGCGCGTTAGTTAATTCACACTTGGCAAAACCGCAAATCGTTAAACTGCTTTAAAAGGTATAGATTAAGCTTGAATACAGAAATTAAATCGCGCCAGCCGCGAACAAAGTTACACGTATCAACCGGGGAACCGGGGCTTTTAATAAATGATTTCGAAACGAATCGATCGACCGACAGCTTTTTAAATAATTCGTTTTTGCGCCGATCAAGTCGTAGATTTTGAGCGTTGTAGTACGTCGATCAGCTACGATTATCTACGGGGCGGCAGGTGAGCCCATCCGCTCCTACAAATGCATTTTGCACCCCACGCATCGTACGATGCATTTATGAATTAACGAGCCGGACTGCTCGCGTTGGAACTGCACGTCCGTCGATAGCATCATCTATGTTTCATTCCATTTCATCATGAAGTGCAGGGTCAGCGAGGCTCCATCCACCTCCTGACACCGGATACGCTATCCCCGAAATCAATTAGCGAAAGGGACACGTCCCTCGCCCAAATCCTTCGATCCCTTTGTCCAGTTTTTGGTATTTTTTTTGTTGTTTTTTCCGTTTTTTTTTTTGTTTTATTTTTTTCCTTTTTTTCCTTTTTTTTTTTTTTT